CTTCTTCTTCTTCTTCTTCTTCTTCTTCTTCTTCATCTTCTTCTTCCTCTTTCTCCTCCTCCTCCCTCCCCTCCCTCCCTCCTTCCTTCCCTCCCCCGTTTTTCTTTCTTATATTTAGAAGTCATAGAACACATATGTAGACAAAACTGAGGACAAGAAACACATGTTGGAAATGTTTGTTGGAGGCAAATGTGCATGTTTGGAGTTTATCCCTCCCTTCCATGCAGTGCCTTGAGAGAGGTGGTGGGGTGGGAGGTGCCCTATTTAAGGATGCTTAGGGTAGCTTGCTCTGGCTGTGGGTACAGGATGCAGATGCAAACCAGCTGCAGTGAGTGGGGTCAAGCAGCCAGACTTCCTAAATGGGATGACTCAGCAAGCTCTCTTAGTCAGAGACTGATGGCAGTTTGTCTGCCTTCTGAGTAGGGGATGTACACCTCGGAAGTATAGCTTGACACAAGGAGACCAGAGGCCTCCAAGAAAATAACCAGGGCTGAGAATCTCTGAGATTTCTTGGCGCCATAGGAGAGGCGTGTCTGAGCTTGCATGTGTCTGTCTCCCTTGGTTCTTGCTGCAGGAAGTCTGTCTGTCTACTTACTGTCTTGATGGATGGCTGTGTTTGTAGCACTTTTTATTCTTTGGAGGACAAAGTGGACACATGTCCTGTAAGTTAGTGAGTGGGTGTGGCTGAGGATTGGCTTCTGACTATGAGGATCATGATATCTCCATGGTAACACGGATGCGTGATGGGGTATCAGGCTGAGGCCAAAGCTGGGCAGCTCAAGTTCCCGAGAGATAGAGTAGTAACCACCCTCCTATACCTGTTTCCAGTCTTCTAGATGGCAAGATTCTTGGGTTTTGGTTGCCCAGAAACGAAACTATCTTTGTAGTTGACTGTGGTCAGGTGACTTGGTTATAGCCAATGGCAAATCACGCTGCTGTTATCTTTCCTTTCATCCGCTTGTGGGAAATGCAGACCCAGTGACACTGAGAGGGGGGCATCAGTGTGGGGGTGGGGGGGATGAAAGAGGTGTGAATCCCTGAAGACATTAGGACGGGGCCACCCCTTCTGCTATGGACCACACCGCTCCGCTTCAGTGAGAAACTGCTTCGGTCTTTGTACAGCTGTCTGAGCATTCCCGCCACCTGCAGTGAATGTTAATGCTTACTGATCGCAAGCGCATGACTTAGACGTCAGCTCGGGAGTCCTCTGGACAGGAGGCCCACTGCACAGTCTTAGGTTCAGCGCTGTGTTTATACTCCCGTCTTCATGGCACTTCAGAGACTGTATAAGCCATGACAAACGCTGAAGGTACCTTTCGGAAGTCCCTTCCATCGGCACCTACTGGTCTCCCAGGGAGTGGGTGTGGTGTGCACACAGGCACAAGCGGTAACAACTGGAGTCTGAAGTCCATGCGGAAGACCGACAATATGCAAGTGTATGAAAAATCCGGACAAGGGGACAAAAGTGGTAACGTTCTTTTTTTTTTTTTAAAAAAAAAAGATTTATTTATTTATTATTTGTACAATATTCTTTCTGCATGTATGCCTGCAGGCCAGAAGAGGGCACCAGACCTCATTATAGATGGCTGTGAGCCACCATGTGGTTGCTGGGCATTGAACTCAGGACCTTTGGAAGAGCAGGCAATCCTCTTAACTGCTGAGTCATCTCTCCAGGCTGGTGGTAACGTTCTTGTGCAAGAACAAGTATGTGTGTTCAGATTCCCATAGCCCACGTAAGAAGGCTGGCGTGGTTGTCTGCATCTGTGACCCCAGTGCTGGAGTCACAGACTGGCTGGCACACAGAAAGAGAATCTTGGAGGCTTCTCGGCCAGTTGGTCTATTTAAAGGAGCGAACTCTAGTTTCAGTGAGAAACTGTGTTTGCAAAACTAGAGAAGTGATTGGGAAATAAACCCAATTGTGATGTCAGTATGCTTAAACACACACACACACACACACACACACACACACACACACACACACGGCGCCTCGAATGCTAATGATCACCAGGCTCCTACCGATGGACATGGAGCCATTGGTAGCAAGATGGAGAGACAAAGGTGTGATAAGGGGAAGCTGATGGCTGGGAAAGAGAATGACAAGCGAAAGGTCTGGGTGGAAGGTGTATTAAAAAGTGAATATTGGCAGGCAGTGGGGGCGCATGCCTTTAATCCCAGCACTTTAGTCCCATGAGGCAGAGGCAGGTGAATCTCTCTGAATTCGAGGCCAGCCTGGTCTACAAAGCAAGTTCCAGGACAGTCAGAGTTGTCACCCAGAGAAAGCCTGTCTCCAAAAGCAAAGAAACAGTGTATATTGATCTCTCATCAACTTACGGAACTAGAAATTGTGTATCCCCTTCGGCATCGTCGCTGGACCACGGCCACCCAAATGAAGTTCAGTCTCTCCCTTTGTGACTTCTGACTGAAGCAAGAAGCACAAACCGCCTTCCAGGGCTCTGTTACGCCCCGATCCGTGGAGTCCCCCAAAAACCAACATAGAGACCAAGTATGGTATGTAAAAGCAAAGCACCTTTATTCTTACTCAAGTTTGAACTTGGACTCTCCGTGTGTCCAACATATTGGCGTGATCAGGGAGCCCTGAGCAAAGTTGGGGTGGTATTTTTTTTAGAATGGCAGAGGGATTTGTAAGGTTCAAGACCCCAATTGGCTGACATTTGTCTAGGGGTCCCCTGTGAAAAGGGGATGGGTGTGTGCTGGGCTAAGGGACAACAGATGATCCTATCTACAATAATTGAAACATTAGGAACTTCCTTTGGATGGTCTGTTCCTGGGTGGTACCTGGGTGGTCTCAGTCACTTAGTGACTCCGTACCTAGGTAGGATTGCATGGTAAGAGATGAATAAACTAATTGGTGGCTGTGATGTGGGAAACAGGATAGACAAAACAGCATTGCTCTGTTGCTCCTGCGTGCTAATTGTGCTTATTAGTGAAGAAAGCGCTTCCGTTTGAGTAGTCAGCGTTGCAGATGAGACCACAGACACTGAGATATGGAGATGACTAACAACCGGCAAGCAGTGCTGGGAGGAAGCAGCTGATTGGCTGATACCGTCAGGTTGCTAGGAGACGGCTTCGTTCGTGTGTCTTTCCTTCCTTGGTCACTTGTTCTGGGACCTTCTCAGTCTGTGGCTCTGTACTCCTTTTAATGTGACCCTGAAGTCAGCAAGGATTCCTGTGGATGTGCAGAGGCGTCCACGCTAGGGACGCCAGTGCTTCAGCCCCCTCGGAACGGCAAAGCCTTCTTTGGGTCCGGGTGAGAAAGTTGACAGCGTTTGCAGAAAAACCGCCCACGACAGCTTTCTCCCTCCACCATGTTTACATCCTGCCGATTGGGTCCCTGCAGAGTCTGCTCCTACCGAGATTAACTAAGCCTGTTTCCCGGGTCAGCTTTATATACTAAGCCTGCCTCCTGATGTATCTACGTGCAATAGCTCCCCTTCCCTGTTCAGTTGCATATAATAAACACGTGGAACCGGAGGGGCAGAGTGGTCTGCGGTTTCTCCAGTCAAGAGCTCCGTACACCTGACCCCACCCCCGCCCGCCTCTTTGTGCGCCCCCTTTTCACTCCCACATTGCCTCTAGTCAGGGTTCAGGAATCCAGGCTGTGTGAGGATGAGGCACTTCCTCCCTACTCATCTCAAAGAAGACAGTCCTTCCTCTTCACATGTTAATCCACTACACCTGGCTGGGTTTTCACCAAACCAAAAAGTTTCTGAACTAGCATTCACCTTCATGTCTGTTGGTTGCAGAGGAATTGGCCAAAGAGCAATTTATGCCCAGGTCAGGGGATAGGCACTTGATTTTGATTTGGCAGAGAGGTGCCCAAATTTTGTATGAGAAAAAGATGCTCCGTATGGAATATTCCTTTATGCTATGTGAACATGTGTTTCTGTGATTGTTTTAATTAAGAAGCTGCCTGGCCAATAGCGGAACAGGATAAGGTTAGGCAGGAGAGCCAAACTGAGAATCCTGGGAGGAAGAAGGACAGAAAAGGGAGTCTCAGGTCAGACATAGAGAAAGCAAGATGTGTACAAAATGAGGTAACAAGCCATGAGCTACGTGGCAAAGCATAGATAAGAAATACGGATTATATTAAATGTAAGAGTTAGCTAGTAATTAGCCTGAGCTATTGGCCAAGCCTTTATAATTAATACTAAGCTTTTGTGTGGGTTACTCGAGAGTGGCATGACAGAAACTTCTGCCTACAACTCCAGATAATATTTATTAGATGATTTGTGTGTAGGGGTTGTGTGTATGTGTGCATACATTTGTGTGCACACCCTAGTACAGGTGCTTGCTTATGTGGAAACTGGAGGCTAACATCATAGTATCTGCTGTTGTTGCTCTTTGTGATGGCTCATCTCGGTGGCCAACTCAACTACATCTGGAAATAACTACAAGGCAAGCAACTGGGCACACCTGTGAGGAATTCTTCTTGATTGGATTGTTGGTGGTGGGGAGACCCGCCCCAAATCTGGGCCATGCCTTCTGTTGGCAGCCTACGTAAAAAGACTTGGAGGAAGGAAACATTTGCCTGCTTGCCCTCCTTCTTGCTGGCAAGGTCACCTGCCCTCTACTGAGGCAGTCCTTTATCTTGAACCTACTCCTTTGGGATAAACTGAAGATGATTGAAACCTCCAGCCTCGTGGACCAGATAACTATTGGATTCTTGGGCTCTCCACTGGGAAGCAGCCACTGTTGGACTAGCTGGACCACTGCCTGTCAGCCATTCTAATAAATTCCCTTTATATATAAGTGTTGTTCATTCTAGTAGCTCTGTTCCTCTAGAAAGCCTTGACTAATACGCTCTCCATAATATTTTTCTGAGGCAAGGTCTCTCGCTGAATGTCCTAGCACAATTTCTGTTGCTGTGATAAACCCCACAACTCAAAGCAATCTGAGGAGGAAATGGGTTTATTTCATCTTAGAGGTTACAAATTACTGAAGGGAGTCCTGGCAGGAACTCGAGCAAAAGCCATGAAGAAAAGCTGCCTACTGTTTTCTCTAGCATCTGCCAGGCTTATATAGCTCAGGCTTATCTGTTGAGGGATGGTACCACCCGCACTGGACTGGGGTCCCTTACATCAAGTAGCAATTAAGAAAATATCCACTGGGCGGTGGTGGCGCACACCTTTAATCCCAGCACTCAGGAGGCAGAGGCAGGCGGATCTCTGTGAGTTCAAGGCCAGCCTGAGCTAGTTCCGGGACAGGCTCCAAAGCCACAGAGAAAGCCTGTCTTGAAAAAACAAAACAAAGAACAAAAAAAAAGAAAGAAAAGAAAATATCCCTACAGGTATTCCCTAGGCCAATCTGATCAAGGCAATCCCCCAGCTGAGATGCTCCCTGTCGCTAACTAGGAGACTGAACTTAAAGCTCAACTGTGTTTGGCTAGGCTATCTGGTCAACCTCCATGGCCTATCTTGTTTCACTCACTCCAGCCCTGGAGTCAGGGCTATGCAAGCTGCCACGCTTGGCTCCTGTGTCGTGCGGAGATGCAAATTCAGATTTTCATATTTAGAACTGTATCCACTGAGCCATCCTCTCCCCAGCCCTTACTATACTATTTTAAGGACATATTTAGAATAATTTTTGATAGTGGTGATCATTTGACACCTATAAAAGCATAATTCTAGGAATAGATGTACATAAATTATCAGAAATGCTCGCAAAAATATTCAGTGATCACGAGCTTTGTTTTCAGAAAAAGTTATTTCTGCTTCCCCCAGCTCAGCATAGCATTTTAATTTTTGCTTCTGTGATCAAGTATTATACAATCCTCCATACCTTCAATTGTGATTAGTGATTTGTCTCTACATGACTGCAATTGAAATATACATTACTGCATATAGAAACTATTATCCAATATTTGGGAATTTGTTGTTCATAACAGCTTTGCGTACAGCCACCAAAGACAGAAATAAGGGGAAAAAATGAAAAGATAAACAAAAACGGCAGAACACAGGCCATGGAATAACACTCAGCCTTAACAAGGGGGAAATGCTGACATACATGTAAGATGAATGAAGCTAACATGCTAAGTGAAATTAGCTATTCACAAAATAGACACAAAAATTTGACTCCGATTAACTAAGGTAATTTGAAGTAGCCCCGCCCATAGAGACAGGGAGTGGAATGGTGTTTGCTGAGGGCTGGGGAGGGGACGGAGTTTAATTAGGCCACACCCCTGAAGAACCCCCTAGGCAACTATGAGCAGCTGCGCAACAGAAGAATCCTCTTCCCTCTTCCGCCATGGTCCATTATTTTCTTTTTGCGTAACCTCCGTGGGGAACCTTCTAAAATTTCCATGAAGTCACATGAGCTTCTCTGCCCCTCCCACGAGGAGGTGCCAACACGCCAGAGAGTTTATGGGACTCATGTGTGTGATCGCAATGGAAAGGAAGAAGAACGAACCGAGGTCAGGGCTTCTGTTCTGTACAGGGTCTAACTGTCTCAACTTTATTATCGTATGCGGGTGCACATGTGCCCGCGTGGAGATCCGAGGACAGCTTTGTGGAGTCTGTTCTTCCGTTCCTCCTTGAAGTACGCCCCATGTTTATTATAGTATTGACCACAGCAGTCAGGATTCTGGAATCATCCAGTGTTTGTCACAGGTCCTGCAAGGCCGACTGATTTGAGCTTTGCCGTTACAGAGCTGGATTCTCTCTGCAGTCTAAAAAACAAACTCAGGAGCGAGGAGTAGAATGTCGTCGACTTAGAGCTGAGGCAGGGGGGGAGTTAGGAAGAGACATTGGTAAAGGGGGATGAAATTTCAGTTAGAATGTTCAAGAGATCTACCATCCAACATGGCGACTGTAGTTAACAGTGGGGCATATCCTGGAAGATTACTATTAATATTTGTCGGTCTCCTCACCACAAAGGGTGAGCTATTGGCTCCATGTAGCATGCGCACTTCAAAGAATCACAAGTGTACAACATAAAAATACATACATTATTTGTCAACTCATTTCTCGAGTTTAAGAATAACGGAAGAAACAAACAGGTCTGACTTTCTCCCAGTAACTTGGGTATTATTCCTCCCAGTAACATGGGATTGTAATATTAACGTAGAAACAGCCATCAGTACCCAGAGAGCACGGAGGGACTGCAGCCGGCTGAAGGTTTGCTTGATCCCTCCAGTGGACATCACCAGGGTGACCTGGGCTGCGGAAGGACACTGCACAGCTCTAAGACTCGTTAGTGTGGCAAAACAGAGGGTCACACTGGGGTTACAGTAGAGAGTAAATAGCTATGCAAAACAGAGAGAGCTCTTTGCCCCACCTCTTCTGCTTGGCTTATGGTAGGAGGTTAGCTATCACTCACTTGCATATACATTTACACACACACACACACACACACACACACACACACACACACCTCTTCTGCTTGACCTATGGTAGGAAGTTAGCTATCACTTGACTGCATATCTCTCTCTCTCTCTCTCTCTCTCTCTCTCTCTCTCTCTCTCTCTCCATGCTTTCTCCAGTCTCTGTATATCTCTTCTTTTTGTTTCCTGATTTCCAATTCCCTCCCTGCCTCCGCATCGAGCTTTTACTTATTTATTTTAAAGGAGAAACACAAACTATTGAAAGCCTATGCACTTGGCTCCATTATTCAGATCCACAGTTCTGAATCTCCTGCCTCAGGCCCGAACCACAGATTTCTTCTCCAGGATGAGAAATAAAACCCAGCTCCAGCCTGGCTCCATTCAGCCATTCTACTCCAGCCGGGCAATTCACTCCTCCCTTGGAATTTTATTGAAGAGTTCCAAGCAACATTAACAGAACAAGGTTCCCTGTAAGAATATCATATACCAACTTAGTTGTGACATGAATGTCATTAATTTACAGAAATTAACATTATGAACACATAACGGGAAAATGTCCCTGAAAAGAGACAAGGGAACATTAACAGACAGCACAAAGGGGTTCCGTTCAGCTTTAGGGCAAGTTGAGGTCAGGGCCCTATGTCTGTGTCTTCAAAGGTCCGAGGTTTTGGATGAGGCAGCTCAGGAAAGTGTCCAGCCGATGCCTGGACCTATAGGCTATCAGTCCTCCCTTGTTGGCCCAGAGATCCACTCCGGAAGCACCTTTGTTTTCCGTGTGATACAGCAATTGTGGTAAGTCCAGCCCCGGTTCGGGATTTCGCGCCAAGCACTCTTTCATGTCTACAATGCCCCCACCCATGGCCCTCAGAATGGCGTGGGCGGCACAGGAGTCCCACTTGAACGTGGTGTCCTCTGAGAAGATGTAAATGTCAACCAGGCCTTGGACTACACAGAGGCTCTTGTAGCCTGCCCCCGCTGCCGGGAAGACGCCGCCTCCGCACACTCGCGACAGCGCCGCTTTGATGGTCTCGTTCTCGCTGGTACTGATGACTGCGGAAAGGGGGCGGGAGAGCTCCCCGTCTGAGTTTTCAGTCCGGGTTTCACCGCCGGTCCCTTTAGAGAGGGCGATCTGCGGGGAATGGATGTTGGTCCCCATGTAGGAGAGGCCCCAGTAGTACTGCCCCGTCCACCTGCAGGAAACAGGTTTAGCTGGTGATTAGCACGCTGGTTGACGCAGGCGCCTTTCAAATATAACGATATGAAAAAATGCACACTGCCTCAGAGCAAATTGAGTTTTAATGATCCTGAGCCTATAAATGGACATCAAGCTACTAATTAATTCTAAGCTGACTGCAAGCAAGCGCCTGTGTTTCTGTGAGAGAAACACGGACTCTTTACCTCGCCTCAAACCCAGCTGGGTTAACACTAAGCCTGCTAGGATCTCTGACCTCTAGGAACAAAGCCAAAACTCAATCCCGCTTTTGTTATTCAAAGTCCTAGAGGGAAAGAGACAGGTCTAAGTCTTCTTGTAAATCTCCTCCTCTTTATTCTGCGTCTCTAAGCTTCACTTTGACATCAAACACCAAGTAAGATGGCCTCCTGTGGTTATTGTTGGCAATAACAGTAATAACAGTTTTGTCTACCCACCTCCCCTCCTGTCCAGGGCTCTGTTTACAGATGAGAGGCTACCTTTAGAGAAAGCAAGTAACTTGCTAAAGTGGCCTGGATCCTTAAGTGGAGAAACCTGAAATCAAATCTGGTTCACCCCTGAATCTGAGGCCCTCCAAAGCTGGCTTTGGAGTCCTCTTGTGTCTATGGAGTGCTGGGCTTACAGGGTCCCTAATGTTTTAATGACCTTTTAAAACATTATCAAAATAGTTTGAAAAAAAAAATGGAGTAGAGGAAAATTCCAGAGGCTTAAACTTTTAAATCTTAAAGAACAAAGGATTCTTATCTGAAGCAACCCGAAGATGAATGAACACAGGCAGTCCTGTTTTTTTCAATGAGAAGGAAGAGGGTCTGCCGCCTCTGCTCAGACTCTGCTATGCCCAGGAGTCAGCCCCCAACACAGAAGCCTGGCCACTAACCAGGCTGTGAGAGGGGATTAGTGGAAAGGTGGGGGCGGCAGAGGACAGCTTCCACACTGATGCTGGCAGTATTTGGAAGGAATTCGAGTCAACCCTGGCCATATCTGACAAAAATTCCCCTAAATACTTTCCATGTTTGATTCTGCATTTCTTCCACCATAATACAGAAATTCACCTGGCCACATAGTGGTGGCATCTACCGTGTTCCAATGAATCAGAGGACAGCATTGAGCATTAATCTACATGTGTGGTTTTGAGTGGATTTTAGAAACAGGAATAGGGTTGCTATATCTCAAATGCAAAGCCGTGGTTTCTCTGAGACCGAATTAATTTCTTTTAAAGCACCAACGTGCACTTACACCCAAGCAAAACCCTGCCAAATCCAGGACTGAAGAGAGGAGGCATCCTAATTTAGCCCTGTGGACTCACAGTGGGAAACCCCATAGAACCCAGTCGTGAGAAGGCCATGTGAAGTGACCATACTAACAAGCAAGGCTGAAGCTGGGCGACCAAAACCGGAAATGTCTTTTACCTTAGAGTAGTTAGATTCTGAGACACAAAAGGCTGGTTGATGACTCCCATCAGGGGCACGCCTGTCTGTATATCATAGACACCAATCAAAATCGTCACACACTGAAGCCCACTGGGGAAGACTCCCTGGTTGGATTTCACATCGGCAGAACCTTTAATATACTGATAGGTGGAATCTGAAAAATGAAACAAACATACAGGCACAGATGGGTTATTAGATCATGGTGGATCGATCGAGGATTTTTTTTTATCCTGTATAAATTCCCCTTCTAATTTAGTAATCTATCAGATTTCATCATTGGGCGCTGCCTGACCTGAATCATTTGTATTCTTATATATCATTGCTTCTATTGCATTCAGTGTATGGGAAGTTTAGGGAAAAATGTGTTGTCTTGAGACAGGGTCTCTGTGCAGCACGGGCGGGTCTCCAGCTGGAGATCTTCCCGCCTCTGCCCTGTAAGTCTGAGAACTCTTTAAGGGGGAGAACATGGCCACAGTCCTGAGGAATCTAATACAGCACCTTGCATATAACAAGGCCTCTAAGGCAGCTAGGGCTGGGAAGACAACTCAGTGGGTAAAGCATCGAAGGCATGAGGTCTTGAGTTGGGATTCCCGGCACCCACACAAGATGTCAGGCAAAGCAGGTCCCTCTTCAAAAGCCCAGTGCAGGGGAGGAGGCGGAGACAAGAGGTTCTCTGGGGATTGCTGAACTGCCAGTCTAATGGAATGGGTGAGTTTCAGATCAGGCAAAAAAGGAATGAGAACGACACACTACAATCTGTGCTGTGCTGTGTGCACAGGAGCGCGTGCACACACCATTAAAAACACACTGAAAAGGCCAACAGCTCCTGATAGCTGGCGGGATGTTTTGTTTTTATTTTTGTTTTTTAAGAACTGTTACTCATCAGAGGACTGGAACAATCTGAGATGGAAAAGCTTCTAGGGATCTGTCAGATACAGAATGGCCTCTCATTGTCTTCATTCATCTCTCCAAGCTGCAAGGAAGGAGATGATGAAGCCGGCCTAACAGGGAAGAGGGCCGGCATCACAGTGCTTGTGAGGGTTGATCTCGGTTGTCAGCCTGATCGGATCTGGGATCAACTAAGAGGTATGGATCTGGGTGTGTCTGGAGGTATTATCTGGAAGCACTGTGGAGGGGGCACAATCCTCTCTCAGAGTGGGCAGTGCCTTCCAGCAGCCCGGCTGTAAAGACGCATGAGGCAAAGTGGTGCTGATTTTTCCTTCTTGCTTTTCTTCTTGCTGGTGCAAGCACCTACTCTTCAGCTGCTGCTGCTGCTGCTGCTGCTGCTGGCGTCCTTCACTGACATAAACACATTAGCATCTCTGAACTTTCAACATGGACAGACGACCAGTAGTCTCCAGGGATTCCCCAGGCCTCAGGACCAACTGGCACTGCTAAGGCTTCCAGTATGGCAGACTGAGCAGCTACTGGCCTCATCAGCATGCGACAGGCGTTGGTGCAGTACCAAGTCCCCTGAGTCAGCACACAGTGAAGACCGTGCCCAGCCAAAGACCCAGGGACACAGACAAACACCTATTCAGGGTGGAACTAAGACAAAGGAGATGGTTTTCCTCAGAACTGTAAAAACATCAATTTACCCTGACATGACCAGAGGCTTGGGTGGAAATTTTAATGCTCATAGCCAATGCACTGATTGCATGTTATGCAGCTATCTGATGTAAGACAAGCCGCCGTGTTGTGTTGTGCGTAGCACAGGATGCTGAGAAAGGATAATGTCCGCCACCAGTTGTGTCAAGCAGAATCGATGGGGAAGATGGGAAAGTTGGGAGACGTTAAGTCTTGGGACCTTGTAGAGACAGCGCTGTTTCAGAAGCATGCACTCTAGTGACAATTCTACCACAACAAGGACTAAGGCTTGGGAGGTTTGACGCCGGCTTGCCGGTCACCTAAGCCCCATTCGACCGTTTCGCTTGACTACGGTTTTGACTGTTGCCTAACTGAATGAGTAGCCCACGATTTAAAGCTCACAACTCTCCCTAAAAGCACCAGTTTGGGCTTAGTGTTTTAAAATCTGGAGATCCAGCCTGTACTAGCAGACGGTAAGAATCTGTTAGGACGGTACTCTCTCTCGGAGAGGTGCTCATCGTGGTCACTTCACATTCTCAGATTTACCAGGCATTTACAGATCCATTAGTGGGCTGGAGAGATGGCTCAGCAGTTAAGAGCACTGGCTGCTCTTCCAAAGGTCCTGAGTTCAATTCCCAGCAACCACATGGTGGCTCACAACCACCTGTAATGAGATCTGTGCCCTCTTCTGGCCTGCAGGCAGAGTATTGAGAATACTGTATACATAAATAAATAAATAAATCTTTAAAAAAATAATGATAACGGATGTTCCAGGAGATCTAGACTATTTAGTTCTAATGGTTTCTATTTCCTGGAGCCACCCTGACCCCTCAAGAACACTGGGCACAAATGAGTAGCAGTCCCACACTTACCTATGGGGTCCACCCAAATCCCCAGAATTTCCTGTGGGACCCTGATCTCCAGGGACTCCAGAGTGGGGTCACTTAGGTCCACATCCTGATGCACCACCTTCGCCAGCGCTTCAGACGCCGGCACGTTGCCATCCAGGACTCTGCTGAGAAGCTCTGCTGTCTCCGCCTCCGTGGACCGCAGCTCCACGGTGATCTTTTCCCCTAGAATGAAGACAAATTAGAGCCACGGCTCCTTGAGAGATTCAGGGAGAAGACCGGACCGCGGGAGGCAGAGCGGCAGCGAGGAGCGTGGGCAGCTGAGCTGAGCTCTTGGGTTAGGTGGGTGCGGTATGTCCACAGCGCTGGTTCGGAAACCCTGCCAGGATCCCCTGCGGCTCTTTATAAAGCGGTGGACGCTAATGGCTCTGTGGCGTCCTCTTGATGGAGAGGTTAGGCTCCAGGACTCAGCCTGCTCCCCCAGAAAAGGAACTACAAGGGCAAAGGTTTGCATTCAAGGAACTCCACACAAAAGTTGAAATTCTTCAGCTTCAATAATTATTCTGTTACTTAGTTTTGTCTTTTGACTTTTCTCTGTCCATGTTGGAATGTTACTGGAAAAGACCATAGGTCTTATCCACATATGGAAATACTTCTGCTTTTTCCTGTAATGCTACTTTTAACAAAAATATTGCTTATACTCAGGAGTATCAGATGAAGCATTAAATTAACTGTTTATGAAACAGCCATGAAAATGTAGGACTGTAAATTAGGACGTACTGTGTGATACTCATAACAGTTACTTATAACTTTTGGAAGTGTGAATAAGATTTCTGTCTTCTTTCTTGGAGTCATAGGAATGTATAGAAACTTTTAGACACATAGAAATGTATATAAAAAGCCAGGGGAGAGGTTCATGCCTGTGGTCTCAGCTACTCTGGGAGTTGAGGTGAGAAATGACTAGAACCAAGAATTTGAGACCAGTTATAACCCAGCAAGGTCCCACCTCCAACAGAACAACAACAAAATAAAATTAAAAGGTTGGTACGGAATGGTGGGGTAGGAGGTCCTTCTGTTTATGTGTTGCTTTCATTGGTTGATGAATAAAGAAACTGCCTTGGCCTTTTGATAGGGCAGAACTTAGGTAGGCAGGGAAAACAGAAATGAATGCTGGGAGGAAGAAGGGCCCAGTCAGGAGAAGCCATGGATCCTCTGTCTGAGATGGACAGCGCCGGTTAGAATCTTTCCCAGTAAGCCACTGCCACGTGACAATATACAGATAAACAGAAATGGGTTAAATCAAGATGTGAGAGTTAGGCAATAAGAGGCTAGACATAATGGGCCAAGCAGTGATTTAATTAATACAATTTCTGTGTGGTTAATTCGGGGTTAAGCTGGCCGGGCAGCCCAGATGAACAAGTGGGCCCTCTTCCCTGAAACAGAATGGAAACTTCTAGTTAATTCAGCTACCTTTACAGAGGTTCTGAGATGAAATGCAGAGGGTACCGGAGCAACATCATACATTACTTCAGGACTGAGGGATCTGCTACACACTTAGCCCAGAGCTGTAGAGTCCAGGGTGTCCCCAAATGGGTTTAAATCCCTGCTCAGGCACTGTCCGTTCAACTGTGTAGACAAACACCTTTCTGGGGCATCAATCATCCCATTAGGTTTTCAAAAGGCTATAGAATTTTCCCAAAGGCTAGGTCGCGATGGCTAAAATGCTGATAAATTATTCCAAGACCAAGAAACCACCTCACCTCTCTCTAACTCAAACGCCATCCTATTCTGAGGTAGCGCCTATATAAAGCTTTACATTTAAGCATGTGATGCTGTTTATACCCAAAGTTTTCTAGCATTCATTTATTTTATGTTCCAAGTTAGAAACTAGAATACTATGATTAAGTTATAAAACACATTAAGGTTCTTCTACTTACCCAAATCATTTGTAAATTCATTGGATTCTTCGCCAAAAATTTTTTTCCCCAAGCCTGGAAACTGAATAAGTCAAAGTTTGAAAAACAAACCAACAACCCCCAGTCCCACAAATCAGTTCTGAAGAGAGTTCCATAAGTTAGATTTGAAACTCCAAACTTTCATAGTCGGAGTCAGCCTGAGCGTGGAAAAAGAAGCCAGCTTCGTTCTGGGCTAATATTGGTTCTGTCTAATATTTTCCTATTCCTTTGCCAGTCTAGAACATGTAATCCATGACTGAGATCAGGCTCCTTTATGTGCTGTGAGCCTTTTGCTGGAGTGCCACAGGGCTGGGATGGCCACAGGGCTGGGATGCCACAGGGCTGGACGGCCACAGGGCTGGGATGCCACAGGGCTGGATGGCCACAGGACTGGATGGTCACAGGGCTGGACGGCCACGTGACTGACCGGTTACAGGGCTGGGATGCCACAGGACTGGGGACATTTATTAACCTTGCTCCTAAACACCAGCCTGTGAAAACTCATGTTATTGGCTAATGTCCTTAAAATAATTTCATTAAAAATTTTTTTTATAATTTATTTTTGCATTTTAGGTATATGGGTACTTTTCATATATGTCTGCACATCAGAGGAGGGAATCAGATACATCATAAATGGTTGTGATCTGCCATACGGCTTCTTGAAATCCAACTCATGTCCTCTGAAGAACAGTCAGTGCTCTTAACCACTGAGCCATCTCTCCAGTCCCTAAGAGAATTTCTAAAGGTAGAAAAAGACTAGAAGGTAATCTTGGGTTTTATTTTCATTTTCAGATAACATCTCTGCACCCATCGGTGTGCCAAAGGAAAAAAAGAAAGGAGGAAAAGAAAGAGAAAAAGAAAGAAACCCAGCACTGTAGGGACCTATGACGTAAGCATGGGTATAGCGTGAACTGGGATTGAGTGAGACTTTCCTCAAATGTCCATGTTAGTGTTCACATGAACACATTTCACTCCTGGCCCTCGGAAGATACTTTTTCTCAAAATACGTGCTGACTCCCATATTCCTGCTATTTTCAGGGAAGGGACTGCCTCACACACTCGAACATTCCCAGATGCGCAAAACACAAGGGCCACAGCACCTGCTATTCTTTGTCTTTTGCAAAACAGAACCGGGCCTACAACCGGGCTGGCCATCTGCCAGTTCCCCCACACCTGTTTCCAGAGCTGTCTAGAGGAATGCAGGCAGAAGGGGTCTGAAATAAAAATATCTAAAGCAGCTCAGGTGGAAAGTATTTGTTTCATAAATTCCAGCGGTTGTTCATGAATAATTGCCTGGAATTGCTCTAATGCTGGGGGGGGGGGGGGTCACATATTAACCCATAAAAGTAATGTTGATACGTATCCAATCCGGTTGCTCAACCGGCCCTTGTGTATAACTGTCTCCATCAGTAACAACAACAACAACAACAAAAAAAAAAAAAAACTTCCTTCATTGAGCTAGCCAAAGCCAGGTAGAAAAGGGCATGAAGAAGAAACAGTCTGTGGAGATTTTACGTAACTTAGGTACTCTCTTCTCATGCCCGTGGTCAAGATTTTACTTCATTCTAAAATGATCCTCAAATTTAAAAAAAAATCATTAAAAATATGAAAGTGGTTTTTTTAAAAAAAATTTCTATCATAAAGCTCCATTCTTTTAAATTAGAAAAAAAAAAAAGAGGTGGGGAAGGGATGATATGAAAGCCAACGGGAACCCTAGTGGCCACACACTCAGAACCATTTCCTACATTCAAGAGCTGTCACGCTGTGCTGTGTAATTTCGGATCACTTATCCAAGCTCCCTGTGACACCCGGATCACAGTGGAATAATAGTTCTTTGTACAAAACTGTCGCCGGGTTCACCAGCGAGAATTCGCGAAGCCAGAGACACATTTCCATGCGTCTGCTGGCATCACTGTTAGGATACTAGGACATTAGCTTCGCCTGGCCACTTCCACACTGAGAACCACAGTCACTGGCTGTCATGACCATATTTTTATAGGAGGATCAAGGGAGATTTTTACCCAATCCCAAGCCCGTAACCAAGGCCAACGTTACACAAATAGTGAAGGGACTAAGGAGTCAAAGCAAGTGAGACAGGTAGTGCAAACCCGCAAAGAGACGCCAGCAATCCCCAGCCGCAAGGAGAGTCTAACACTGGGCTTCGGAGGGACCTTAATTGTGTCCTGTCGCAGAGAACAGGAATTATTTATTAACAAGGAGCTCATCAATAAACCAAAGAGTCGACTCTATGAACTCATGTTAGAATTCTGAGTCCCCTCCATTTGTTCGCTTTTCGATCCTTCATTGATTTCCCGCAAAGACCATTTTCGTAATAGTGTAATGAAAAATAAGGGAAGACCAGAAGATCCTCGTTTGGCTCGGGGATATCCTGAGGATCAGTAAAAGACCCGCTGTTTTACTCAGAGAGAAGCAGAGTGGCAGAGGCAAGCAGCTCACAGCCACCTTGGCCCTGACCTCTCACCTTATTCTCCATGTTCTGCTTTACGACTTCCTGCACCAGCACGTCGGCCAGGGTCTTGAAGTCCGCCGCGAACTTCTTGTTCTTCTCCGCATCTTTCTTCTCCTGCACGAGCAGCTGGAAGAGGGCCTCCTGCTGCCGGCACGCCCGGGCGATGTTAGCAGCCTTCTCGGAGACACGGAGCAGCTCCCGGAGAATGTCTGACATTTCTAAAGGTTCCCCCGCCCTCTGGCTCCTCTGGCTCTTGGCTGGAAAAGCGCAAGAATGTGAAAGAGAAAGCGGTCAGAATCAGGGTGCCTCTCCCACTAACGCCCCACTTGGCAGCCACCTGTCAGCAGGGTTGAGCTGCCAGTGGACACCACATTTTCAGTGGGCTGACTATTGAAACTTAGTTCTCAAATCTTGTAAAAAACAATTACATTCTCAAAAACAAAACAAAAACTATTACCCAAAGAACTGAATATTCAGGGAAAGAAAAAAAAAACCTTTGAATAAGAATCTATATTGCAAAGCCCTAGCAAGACGGAAGTACCAGGGCATCGGAGGAAAGCCAGATTCTTCTAAGGACCCTAATCATAACACAGCCGTATCATGAAGATTAACACAGCACTCTCTGTGACAAGGACGAGGGTGACAGACAGTCACATTGCCACCTCCACGTGGTAAGCGGCAGAGCCCGCAGAGCTGCAAGCACTGTGCCCTGAGGCCACTCTTGGGTATGAAGCATCTCACGGGCAACTAGGGTAAAAAATGTTCCAGAGGCAAATGCCATTCTCCACCAAGTAGCAGCCTACACCACGACGTGAGGGGCAAATTGCACCTTGCCAGGACCAGAGAGCTCTGGATTCTCAGATTCATGTGGCATGCATAAATCTTTTTCTTCCTCTCCTCTCCTCCTCCTCCCCTTCCCTCCCCTCCCCTCCCCTCCCCTCTCCTCTCCTCCCCTCCCTGCTCCCTCTCTGAAGCCTTGACTGCCCTGTAACTCTTCTCTGTAGCCCAGGCTAGACTTGAATTTAGAGCTCGCTCTGCCTCTGCCTCCCAAGGGCTGGGATTAGAAGCGTGCACCGCCACACCCAGCGGCGGAAGTCTTTCTACTGGGCCTCCCTGGACAGGCTTCCAATTAGCAATGGGACTCTTGTTCAAAGTGTGAACCGTTCTGCTTCCCTTCAGAGAGAACAGCCAGCCGTGAGGATTATCTGCCCTGCGCTGCGGTTCCGGAATGAAGCGTAGGGGGTTGAGTAACTTCTAAAGGGTTGCACAAGGCTGAGAGGCGGGGCTCAGGATCCCTTGCACACAACACTAGGTTTCTTCATCGTCTCAACTGTTTCCTCTATTAAAAGAAGCTTGAGGCTGGGAACCCACTCAGCCGAGAGATGCTGACGCAGGGGTGTGGCGAGCTGTTATAGCTACATTGTCTAAATCTGTTTTCCTTATGGCCCACTGCCTGAGGAAATACTTCCTCAACAGAAAGGAAGGAAAAGTGGGTAGAACAAGGAGATATCCCCCTCGTTCTTCTTTATCCCTGGTCGTCATCTCTGGAGGTCAGCAAGGGGACAGATGCTAACTCTGACGCTGGGCCCGGAAACACACAGGTTCCCAAGGAGCCGCTGGCATAATTGTACCAGTTCCCCGTCCACCTCTCTCATCAGTCGGTACTCTAAATCTTAGCTTAATCTATAGTAAGAAAGTAAGAATTAAAATATTTTCGTACAAGGTAGACTAAAATTATTTAAAGAAAGGAAGACTTTGGGACGACATTTTTTTTCTGAGGCAGGTTCGGTTATCACGCTGTCCAGGCTGCGTTACACTCGCTCTGTACCTGAGTGTTGATGCTCCAGCCTCCCCTTCCCATCTATGATGGCAGGTATGCACTAGTTTCTAGTCTACTTTCTATTGCTGGAATAATTGCCATGGCTAAACCAACTTGGAGAGGAAAGGGCGTATTTGGATTATACTTCCGGTCATAATCCATCCCTTGAGGACATTCAAGGCAGTAACTGAAGCAGGACCTATCGATGAGTGGTGTTTCATAACTTGTTCCCTGGCTTCTGCCCAGCTAAGTTTTTCATAAAGCCTAGGACAGCACCACCCATGACAGGCTATGCCCTAGGTCAATTAGCAATGGAGAAAACGCCCCACAGACATGCCCATAGTCCAATCTGACAGAGGCAGCTCTTTAGCTGAGGTTCCCTCTTTCTAGACACACCAAATGGACAATAAAAACTAACCAGGGCCACCACATCTGGCCTAAAGATAATCTTTTTTTAATTAATTAATTAAAATTTTTTTTATTTTTGAGACAGGGTTTCTCTGTAGTTTTGGGTGCCTGTCCTGGAACTAGCTCTTGTAGTTCCAGGCTGGCCTCGAACTCACAGAGATCCACCTGCCTCTGCCTCCCGAGTGCTGGGATTAAAGGTGTGCGCCACCACCGCCCAGCAAGATAATCTTGTGATATGAGCTTATGTATGCCAGGGAAGTTTCAAGGGTATATGGGTGAGGGTGTATGCACATGGGTGTGCATGAAGGTACAAGTGCCTGGAGGGTCGTGAACACATGGGTTTGCATGCGTGTGTAGATCCGGGCTTGCTATCTCGCGTCTTTCTTAAACACTTCCCCACGTCATATCTGAGACAGGGTATCTCATTTAACCTGATATCTACAGGTTGATGAGACTGACTGGCCAGCCAGCAAGCCCCAGGGATTTACCTGCTTCTGTTTCCAAGTGCTGAGATCAGGAGGCATGTGGTCATCTGTTTCATATGTGGGCTGAGGAGCAAACTCAAGTCTTGAAATTTAAGGAGTCTTGTCATTGTAATGAAGTTTTTTGTTTTAGATTTTTAAGGGGGGGGGTGTTGCATGTGTATGTGTCTGTGGTACATGCATATGCAGTTGCATGTATGTGTGCACACATGAGAAAAATCAAAGGTCAACTTTGGGTGTGTTCAATTGCTCTGTACCTTGCTCTTTGAGTAGGGTCTCCCACTGAATCTTGAGCTCTGTTGCCGTGTGTGTCTGGCTGACCCTGAGTTCCAGGAATTCGCCTGTCCCTGCTGCTCACCCCAACCCCCCCAGCTAGGGTTACAGGTGTGCACTGCCGTCACCATGCTCAGCTTTCTGGGTCCTGAGAATCAAAACGCAGGTCCTTGCGGTTGTGTGACTTTCAGATATTTGAGACAGGTCTTGCGAACCTGACCATGCTGAACCTTCAGCTGGATATATAGTTCAGCCTAACCTTGAACTTCTTCTGATCTCTTTTCACCTCAGACTTCCAAGTAGCTAGGGTTACAAGCCCAGCTAATAAATGGCATTTAAAAAAAAAACAACTAAAATTGAATCTATAAGAATTCTAGGGCTCCTTGGAATGGTTCAAGCAAAATGTGGTAATAATAAAACTTTCGAGATCTATGGGATAACACAGTTAGAAGGCAAGCAACCACAACTTTGTAGAAGTCCTATATTCTAAGACTCAATCCTGCTAGAAGGTTCACTTTACTTTGATGTGGGCGAGTACATCAATAGAAGTAGCAACCCTTCTTGAACTCAGAAATAATTTATAGCACCTAATATAAAAAATACTCACCACAAGTGATTTAATAAAACAGTACAAGCAGAGAGATGCATACATATCGTTACTATAACTCATGAGCCACCAGAGTATAAATCCAGGGACCACCACTGTTATTAGCAAATAGTCTGCATTACTCTAAGAGCAAGGAGTCAACAAAGCAACAGTATCTGGGTTCTTTCTTATTTAGAAGCAACATGGGGGATGTAAAGCTCACTTTGAACTTGAGCAAGATACGTATCAACTGTTTATCACATTCAGTGGCTTCAAAAATCAATGTTTTATCTGAAAAGAAAAGACTACACCGGTTCCACTGCCGGCTTAGCCTCTGCACCATTGCCTCTGGAGACCTGGAATTCCTCCATTCCACTCCTGGCTTATTCTAGTAGCAGCCCTTTTCCCTACCTGAGCAGATGTTTCTTAGCAGGTACAGGAACTTGGCCAAAAGGAGAAAACTTTCAGCTCTGAACTTGTGGCCGGTGATGACCGGGATATGGGCTCTAGAAACTCATAGCGCTGCATCTGGGTTTTCAGGTCCTGAGGCGTCCTACGTCAATCTCAGCCTCTTTTTCTTCTGACCCAACACACCGCTCGCTCGTCCCATTTTGTCAGGCTCCACATGGTTCTGGGTTCCTTGGCCAGGGTCAGTGGAGACTTTCCCCAGCCAGCCCAACCATCACAGTACTTCTCCAGCTCATTCCCTCTCTCTGGAGTCCCCGGTCGCAAACAAACCACCTCCTACAGCATGGATACCGAACTGTCTACGTTTCTGGCAGCTTTGCAAGTTTGTACGCCTTGTTTCTGGGAGACAGAGGCAGCTAAGCCCAGGGTGTTGAGGCCATCTGGGACAACACAGAAAGCCCTTTGTCTCAACGAACAACTTTATATTTGGCTGGCGGACCTACTATACTTTCTGGTGGGAAATCTCATTTCTTCCCCCAAACTCCAATCGCCTGCCTTTATAAGCTCCACCCTTATCTCACTCCACCCTTATCTCTGCCCATTTATCTTAGCTCATTCAGGCAGGTAAGAAAACAGCCAGGGCATATCACCCTTAATTGGAACCCTTGACGCAAGTCATTTCTGAAAAGAATAGGGGTGACACCAGCAAACAATCTCTCCAGTTTTCTATGGGAATTATCTTTCAAATTACCTTAGAAAGCTAATTGAATTTATACAACCATTAATTGCCTCACTGCTCTCTTTGGGGATGGTTGGCACCTGACGGTGAGAATCTTAATGAAGCCTTATAGGAAAGATGATTCACGCTCAGGGCTAGGCAGAGCTTGTTCTAAGTAGTGATTGTTTTTATTTGTAGGTCTCTGTGTGTGTGTGTGCGCGTGCATGTGCACGCTCGGTGCTCCTTGAACTCAGTTTGGTCATATGTCACTATTTAATTGACAGCTGTTTTCCCTCCACTCTCAGAAAAACCCTTTTCTCATAAGCAAGTGAGCAAAGCCTGTGCTCACACGCATTGTAAGGCACGCCCTAGGTACTTGTTCACTGTCCAGCGATGTCTCTCTTAACCAAACGCATGACGCTGGCGATGGGGCTAGACAGGGGCCTCGATCGTGACGGGTACCCAGTTCTTCTTGTATTCATTTGCTCTTTAAGACTGGACAGCCTCCCGGTCAGAGACTGGCAACTCGTCAGTGTGTCCTCACCTGGCCTCTCTGTGGTGGC